AGTTGCAAAATACAAGCTCAGCTGCAAAATAGGTCCTTTCAATGGTATTGCAGCTGAGCTTGTATTTTGCAGAGCTGGCCGCCGACTGATGCAATCAACATCGTCATCATCATGGCAGGCATGTGAGAGCGTTTGGCAAAGAACATTCACTCGGCCTCGTACAATACACTCAGTGAGCAATCGCCTGGCCTCATTGATGAACGTTCGTCGGCCGCTAACGGAACTCACTTGTTCAACTCCGCTTTAGGTCTCACTTTTCGGGACCTGACAGCAGCCGTAGCGACTAGTAGCTTCGACGCAGTCGGTGAACGTTCATCAACGAGTGTCAACATTTCGCGACCTAAATCGGCACGACAGCGAGCTTGGGGCTCAAGTGTTAGAGGGTTTGACTCTAGGTCGCGAGTTCGGGCCTTGTGGAGGTGCACCAATTGGGCCTGCGTACGACGACTGGCTGACGACGGCCAATAAGCAGAAGTAGCCACTGAAGTCTCCGTGATATTTGCCGGCCACGCTAAAATGTGTTTTCTCGATTGACACACAGACACAGCAAAATACACCATAGACACACCAGGATCCCGGCTTTGGAATACATGTATTAAGCGTCTTTCCTTGTTAATGAAAGCGCACCGTCATACACCTAACGACAGCCCGACACAATTCGCACAAAAGTCGGCCTCAAAGTGCATAAAGAAGAAGAGGAGATAATGGGGGTTGTGAGGGAGAGTGCACACTAACCTGTAATGTCGTTTTGAAGAATTTCCTGAAAGACGGGGAATAGGGCCGCCTCAAAGTGCACAATTGAACCGCGGTCCACAGCGCAGGTGAGTTTCACCGAAAGACAGATGACTTCAAAGAGGAAATGATTGAACTGCGGCTTCGAGGGATTCTGCAGAGTAAAGCAGGGGGGTCAAGTAAAAAGTTGGCGTTTAGCGACAGCGGCAGCGGTAGGGGGAAACAGTTCAGGGTCAACACCACTGCAACAGTTAGATGGCGATAGATGGAGGAGAGAGGAGGGAGCACCAAGCAAAGACTCCCTGTGTACCCTGCAGATTACGCAAAGCGCTGACTTAAGCCAGCCTTGTAAGCGCATGTGATGACAAAAGTCACCCCCTAATTGTTAAATTTGACTTAAAGCATGCATGTAAGCAAAATATGTATGCTCAGTAGCTGAGACTGCTCCGCACTGTTTCCCAAGGGGATAATCGGGGTTACACAAAGCAGCTGCATGGGAGAGTGAAGCCGCCACCGGAGAAATCATACCCACGGCAAATCAGCACAGTTCTCACTCTAGTAAATTTGACGTGCGTCATTATTGGTGGTTCTCGTGCGCAGGACTGTGTGGGCATGTGGGTTTCGCTCAGATTCACCGTGTGTCACACAGCAGGATATCACAGGGAAGGTGACTTGCGACGCATTTATCTCTCTCCCTTTATTTCCCTCCCAACTGGCTCGGTCTCTGGATTTAATCAAGAAGACTAGAGGAGGGAGAGGGCGCAGGTGCCACTAGAACCGGCCATAAACGTGCCGCTATACAGGCTGGGAGTGTCATAGAAGCCACACTAAGAAGCAGCCACTACAACCCGAGTCTCAGTCCGCCACCCCACACAAACACACACTGGGCTAACCTGGAGGTACAAGTTAGCCCGTCAGTTGGCAATGTTCCAAGCCACAGCTTTTAGCACACCGTGATAGCGTCACGCGCGTCAGATTGTTAGTAGATAAAGAATGCGCTGAGACGTCAAGCTCACTATTCTCAATCGCAGCCTCTGTCCCAGCCGGTCGGTTAACTGATGCGAGGAAAGGAACGCAGCAGCTAACATACCTAATGACCTCGTCTATGCGTGCCACGGAAACGACCTGACCTCCAAACACAAGCAGCAGGATATTACAGAAGAGGGGGGGGCGGCATAGAGCTCATATGGGTCTACAACCTCTTAAAACCCTTCGCTATTCGGTCTGACGTAATTGTACTTGTTAAGGCTATGATCATGCCTAGTCTAGCCGACATCAATTAAGTTACGGACTGTGCCTCTCCACACGTGACAGTTAGCGGCAGCGGATCTGGAAAGCTCCACTCAGTCTCTTCTCCAGCGAAGGAGACCGAAGATAGAAGGTCCAAGAACTGCTTCCATGTCTTGACG